GCTGCTTGGGCTTCCTCACCGGGTGGCAGCTGGTGGCAAGAGTGAGTCTGCCAGGAGAGCTGACCCAGCAGCTCATGTCATGGCCCAGGCTTGGAAGCACCGCATCACAGCACTCTGTAAGGTCTGAGAAAGTCAGGATTCTGGAGATCCAGGAAACAGAATGCAGATCCGGCTGCTCAGTGAGAGGCACATCACCATCACCAGCACGAAGAACAGGTCACCTGAAGAACGTCATAGAGTTAATATTGTTGCAGCTCTTTGGGGGAAAATTCAGCCTTCCACAAATTGCGTGACATGACCTATCCAGCCGGTGTTTGGCTGTCTTCGTAAATCCCTTTAACTGAAGTAGTTTAAGGACACCTGGTGTGTCAGAGCCTGCAGGACTGAAAGGTAAGATTTGGTGTTGAGGTGACCCAAAATAGATGATGAGGACTTGACACATGCGGTTCAGCTTCCTGTAACTTCCCTCCTTCCTCTTTCCCTGGGAAACTCCTACTTTAGTCTCAACCAAGAAGTGACTCCTGAGTAAGTCTCCTTCCTAAGTGCTCCCACCCACCCCCATGTTACCCCGGTCATCCCTTGTCACACCACACTGTCACTGCCTGGTCCCATCTCTGGTTCTCCTCTGAATGGCGAGGGATGACAAGCAGGAAGCCATGCCAGTGTTTCCTGCCGCTCAGTCCTCAGCCCAGGCACCCTTCCCAGGTCGGGCAGCTGAGAAGCTGTCCATTTGTGGAACACCGAGTGGTTAGTGCAGATGGGGGTCTCCTTACACCTGCGTGCGCAACAATGGGTTACTGACCATCAAGAGAATGGACTGATTCATCATCAATAATGTTTGAGTCCTTTGTAAAAGGTGGCCTTTGTGTTAGGTACTGAGGCCTTGGACAAAGTCGTCACTCTGTCTCTGGGGAAATGTGTAGTTCTAGTAATAATTTATGTGCATTCATTCCCACAACATCCTGGGCTCACTTCTAATGGCTTTTATTCTGTGTTTCTCTTGCTTTTCATGCCACGTGATGGTGATGGCGACACACCTATCACTGAGAATGATGAATTCTTTTCTAAAAACTGATCATGCCATGGTCTGTGCTGCACCTCCCACCCAATAGTGCATAGTGCACAGTCTGTAGTGTGTGTGTGTGTGTGTGTGTGTGTGTGTGTTGGACTTAAGTTGTTTGAGGACCTGTGCTAGACCTGTGTACTCTCTAACTTACTCAACCACTCCCATAGTTGATGGACATGTGGGTGGCCTCTAGGTTTTCACTTGTATAGGCACAGCACCAATCATATCCCTTCACACAGCCCCCCCCCGGATGTAGGGTTGTATTGTGGAGATGGCTTTGCTGAATAAAGATAGGCCCGTTCAAAATCGTGACAGAGACTAGCGGGTTGCCTTCCCACATGTCATCCAATTTATTTGCATTTCCTTAAGACCTGATCCCTTGACTGGTGCATTCTCCCAACACAAATAAGAATTGCCCAAGATGGGGTTTGCTAGTTTCTCTGAGATCACCTTGGACTCAAGTGATTTCCAAGGTTGAATTGTTGATGGAAGAGTCCAAGCTCGTGCTTTTTATTACACCCAACATCAAGAGGGACCACTGGAAAGGCTGGAGGCTGGGGCTGCAGGGTACTGAGGTCAGTGAACTCCCTTCTCGTGGACTCCCTGTGTGACACGTTGTGTGGGGGTCAAGCCTCCTTTCTTCTGCTGTTGGAATAGGAAGTGATGCTACCCTTGACTTTGGCACTAGCAGTGTGTTCAGTGTGTGCAAGGAATGGTCTCTCTTGGTGTTTTTGACTTATAGGGGTTACGTTCCACTATCTACTTTTAGAGCCATTATTTCTATGTTTAAATTATTGAATCACCTTCAGGAAGTATTTTTAGAATCTGAATCAGGTTGACTCCCTGTGTTTAGACTGTTTATGGAAGTACAGCGTGGGCTGTAGACTGAGGTCTGGTTTCCATATGTTGAACCCTAACCCCAGTGGAATGGGATCTAGAGGTGCAGCTTTGGGGAGATCGTGTGGGTGAAGCCCTTATGAGTGAGACTAGTGCCCTTACCAAAGAGGGGTCTCAGGGGTCTGTCTCTCTTACACTGCTCTAGCACACGAGGACAAAGTGAAATGAGGGCCATCGGTGGGCAGGAAGCAGGCCCTTGCCAGACACTTATGCTGCTGCTGCCTTGATCTGCACTCCCAGACTTCAGACCTGGGAGATAGAAATTCCTGATTTTTTGTGGGGGAGCAGTCTATATAATCTTATTACGGCTTCCTGAATGGAGCAAGACTAACTATATACAGAAAAGTAGAGAAGCCACAAGTCTACAACTGGACATATTTTCACAAACTAAACACACAAGTAGACA